TCCAACATCATAAATGCCCTGCTGGTTCAGACAGTATTTGCTATTCAACAGTGCCGGAGGGAAGGCTTTTAAGGAAGAGCACATGAGTTTGGCAATTAAGTAGTCCATTCCACTAGTACTTCCCCGTGGCATATTAAAGGGACTGTATATGGAGGTGTTGTCCTTGAATTTGTCTAATCCTTTTTTGGACTTGCTGTTATGGTCCACCTCTACAATCTTCCATGAGAGCAAATTTCATAAAGTCACTGCCTGCTGTGTAAAGATGTGCTGCAAAATGACATCCTTTTTTTTTTTTTTTTGGTACTCTACTTGATGATGCCCAACATTTTGTTGGCTTTTCTGACTGTGGCTGAACACTGATGATTTCAGAGGACTGTCAGCTATGACTCCAAGGTCTGTTCCTCACACCTGGCCTGTTAAATCCTACTTGTGCTTCCTATCCTTTGAGCAGCTTTCAGTGCCTAAAAAGACCCTTTTTTCCCTTTTCATGGTAACTTAATTGCTTTAATAGTCTTGTCAAAAGCTTTCTGAAAATCCATAACTGTTATGTGCTTTGGACCTTCATTCATCCACATGCATCCCCTTGCCCCCAACCCCACCGAGGTCCTGAAGGCAGCAAGGCAGGATTTTCGTTTCTACTGTCTTTTTCACAAGAGGTATGTATCAGTCCATGGGCTCAGCAATGTTATTCTTACAGACTCTACCATCTTACCAGGAATGGAAGTTAAACTCAGTGATCTGTAGCTCCCAGGAAGCCCTCTGGAACTCTTTTTGTAGGTAACATTACATTGGCACCTCACCCGCCCTCTGGCACAGTTGCCGTTTGTAAGGATCAGTTGTCCACCTTAAGCAGCAATTTCACATTCGAGTTCCTTCAGGCCTTTCAGGTCAATGCCATCTGGTCCACGTGACTTAGGGACTTCTAACTTACCTGACTGCTCTCCTGCTTGCTGTATATTCACCTCGTCTTGATCTAGCTCCTCTGATGTTGCAAAGATTGCATTGTGTGAGGAACCTTCTCATCACCTTCCTCAGCAAAAACCGAAGCAAAAATTTGCTTTGCTATGATCTTACCATCTCTGAGTATCCTCTTTGTGCCTCGGCTGTAAAATGATCCTGCCAGCTCTCGAGCTGTCTTTCATCTTTCAAAGTATTTAAAGAACTTTTTACTCTCAGCTTGACCATCTGTTGTAAGGTGCTCTTAAAATTGTTCTTCATCCCCTTAATTTCCTGTTTACATTTGAGTTCTGCTGTTTTATGGCCTTTCCTGTTCTCATCTTCATTCTCTTCATTCTCAGAAACTTCCTGATACTCTTCTCTTCACTCTCCTGGTAAGTTTTAAGCAGCACATCTGTTTATATAACTGAAAATGAGTGAGGGGACAGTTATTTTTATTTCTAATCATTCAGTATTTTATTTTGCAGTTGCCAGCAATTTGTCTGTAGTCACTTTTACTATTTTTTTCTCTAAATTCAACATCTTTACTCCTTTCTTTGGGCCTTTCTCACAGCAGCAGAAATACAAAATTTGACTTTTGGGCAGATATGGGACTTTACAAACGAGTGAATCAGAAGTAATGTAATGTAGTTCTCTTTGAAACAAACACTGTTAGTTTTGAAGTTTCAGGTGTAGTATACTGAGTAGTTAAAAAACTGTCTATATTTAAAAATCCATCTACATAAAAGAAAATGCCTCTCATTTTTTAGTGATCAAAATATCCACATATCCCACTTATTTTTTTTCATTCAGATTATTTTGATGTAGAGTTGCAGTAAATATTCTTGGAAAATTGAACACTAACTTATACCTTCTTAATTTTTTGAAATATGGCTGTTTTTTGAATTATATTTAGTTAGGAGAATAGTGATATTGTGATTGCGATGCTGTGAAAATCAATTGCCTAATTGTTTATGGCTAATGTAGTAAAAAAGGTTGTTAGTGATTAATTTTATTCTGAGTTAAAAACATAGCCAATCTTAGCGATAACTAGAGGAAAACTTGTTTTTAGTTGTATTACCTGCTATAGTAATTGTGAGTTTTTGCTATATCCCTAAAATTTTTGCCTTTGTTAGAGCTACATACTTGTGGAGTGATGCTGTATTACTGGATTATACAGGTTGTTGCAGGAGGAAGTCAGAGGTTTTGCCAAGCAGATGAGAGGTGATTCTGTAAATTTGTGAAGTAGCATGGGATTGTGGGATATGCACATTAACTTTCTCCTGATTTACAGCAGGAAAGTAGTTAATATAATTGGCAATGATTGTTGCTTATGCTTCAGATTTAATGTCCAGCTGAGATTAATTAGAAAAAGGTTTCTCGTCATCAGAAGAGTGAGATCTTGAAGCAGTGTCTTAATTGCAGTTGTGAGAGAAAAGGTACTTACTGCTTTCTGAAGGTGCAGCTGCAGCTTGATCAGTGTATTTGAAAAACTTTACATGACCCAGCTGTATATATTAATAGGGACCCAAATTCAATAACTGGGGAGGTCCACTCCCGCCTTCATTTACTGTAAGTACTGTAACTTGTGTGTAGATTCAGGAAAGCATCATTAGTAGATTAGCTAATGACTCAGTTGGCAGTTTGAGGTTTCTTGTGCATTTTAGAGGCTAAATGAAGTTAATTAAAGATATGGAGCCACAGCCTTATGCTTGGGTGTAGTTTCTGCAGCCTTGGAATTAGCTATGTTTGATGCTTAAACCTTAGTCTACTAAATATCTGTTGGTGGTGAAGGGTAAACTTGGGGTATGTATTTCATGAAGTAATTGTATTTCTTGGGGGAACATTTTCCAATCCAGTATTTTTTCTACTATTTTAATACAAAAATATATTCTATAGAGGCAGCATGGTTATGCTGCCAATTTCAAGGAGTTGATTTTTGAGGGGCTGACTTGCTAAACAATTTTAAATTTGAAATATTTAGTTTGATCTTAGCGATACTGCTGTTACAATGGATGCAATAGGGGAAAATGGCTTAAGTAGGAATAAAAATGGTATGAAAGAGGTAATTTTAATCTTTAGTGAGCAATGAGCTCAAGGCTTAAGGAGATTTAAATTCTTTGACCGGACTTCTTCACAATTTCTGAAAATATTCAGTATAATATAAGTTCAGAGTTTGCTCAGTATGTACGGTGGACAGTAGTGAACAAGGATTTCCTTCCATTTAGGCATTTTCTTCAGTAAGTCAGTGCCCACTGTGTATTTAGTGTACTCTTTCCTTTGAAACCGAATTTCTGTGTTCTTCTTCTGAGCCCTACCACGCAAGTCCTGTACTTCCATCCTGTGTGATGAGCTTAGGCCATCTCAGAGAGCCATATGAAGCAGAAGTGACAAACAGCTTTGAGTATGTGCTTGCATTTACAGCAGAGTGAATTGCTAACTGATTAAATCTATTTGTACTGTGTAAAAATAGCTTATCTTAGGGTCTGGTCAGAAAATTGCAGGCAATCATAAAATTGTGCGTGTTAGGAATGCTGTCCACTCCCTTTCCGCGGGGAATTACCTACCTCTTAGCTAGAGCGGGATGGCTGACTGAATGCATTGTTTGGGATCATTGTAATGTGCAGTAAAATCAGATAAATCAAACCTTTCATCTCTGATGTTTCATCTAAGAGGGGTGTTTTCTGGAATACATTAATTCAATTGCTTTATGATCACTGGACCATATTCTTAGTGTATTGCATTAGCAGTCTCTAAATGAAGGGTGCTATGTATGCACATAACGACAGTGTTTCTCATTTAAAGGAAATGGTTGCAATATAAAAAAGGTTTTCTGCTCTTTCTATATTTTTGTTACTTAAGTAACAAAGTTAAGGAGAATTTGAAAGTTGATTACGGAAGAAGGTGTCTGTGAACTTTCAGTCAGATCTTGACTAAACCCCCAAACGGTCTAGAATAACTGCAAATAACCTTGGTATCATATTGTCTAGAAACTGTATTTTAAGATTTACATCATACTGTTACAGTACAAACTGGGAGTATTATGCTTTAGAGACCATTTTGGAATATAATATCCAAATGTACTTGTTCTTTTCTAATAGCCTTTGTGTGCTTCGAAGCTGAACAAAATGGTTTTCAGGACGTGTCATTAGAATGCTGTGTCATGTCATTTCATCTGATTAAATGGAGAATTTATGTAATCAGTTGTGTGATGAATCCCACACACGCTGTCAAAAGCAGCACACACATTTAAAATACGCTAATTTGTATTTTACTAATTTCAAAAAATTGGCTCTGTGTAGGCGGGATTCAATTTGCAGTGGAGTAGTTTGGATCAGCATGGTAAATCTGTTTCTGACTAAAAATATATGCCTAGCAAGAGTGCCCCCTGGCTATTGTTGTTCCCACACTTCCCATAAAATGATTATTTCTATTTGTAACATGATTTCATGCTTAAGGCTTCAGTTCGGCAGGGTACTTAAAGTCATGCATAACTTTTAGCATATTGGATCATGCCGTCTGCTTCAGAGGCATAATTCACGTCCTTGAATTAGACACAAGTTTAAATACCTTGTTGAATTAGGGCCTATGTGGAAATTGTATTCCTGTTCAACGTAATCACATTCTGGAATTGCAAATAGCCTTATGTGGACTGTTATTAGCACTTTTTTTTTCCTTCCTGAATTGTGCCGCCCTCATTTGTTGCTCGCTTTAACATTTGCAGTTTTGCAGCTATGCAAACAACTGAATTGTTTTGTGTTAATCACCACAATAATTATATATGGCTCTCCACCGCCTTTTCTTTGTATGTGTAAAATGAACATTTTGCCAACATTGTCATTCTTTTAAAAATAGCTATGCATAGTCTGATTATCCAGAGCGTTAGTCTGAATTTAAATTGTCAATTTTAATTTGTATCTATTCATTTACATGAGGCGTAACAGGTATTTAAAAACTTAACTTTCACCTATATACTTAGCTATTTAGCTATGTATTTATCTTGTCTACTGTATTTTAATATATTTTTCAGACAAGCATAAAAGAAGGATTACTACTGAAGCAAACCAGTTCTTTCCAGAGGTGGAAAAAGCGTTATTTCAAACTTCGAGGTCGTACCCTGTACTATGCTAAGGATTCAAAGGTAATTCTGTGATATTATCAGCTAATGCCAGATACTGGTAACAGCAATTTTATTTAGGTTTACAATTGTAATAATAATAATTTAATGATATATTAGTGGCTACCTGATTTAAAAAAAAAAAAATTAGCATATATAAGACGTAGTCTGCTAAATTACCTTCACCCAAGGAAGGCTGATGATTTTCCCCCCACCACCTTTTTAGTTTTTTTTAATCTAGTTTATCATTATTCTTTTAAGCTTTTCAGACCACTTAGACAAATAATATATTGATCTGAGTGTTGTTTTTAGGGGCTTTCTCAGCCAAATCTTAGATTTCAAAGTAAGTAAAAATCAGACATTGTTCAAAAATTATCCTTCGAACCGAGTTCCATTAAAACCCTTCTAGGCTGACGCCCATATTGCCCTTAAACAGATGTAAAAGGTTGTGTGAAATCAAGATGGGAAGATTTTTCTGCCGAAATTGATTTATAAGGGAAAAAAGCTGTTTCTCATCAATTGATATTTTCACTGGGAAAATTGGGGGTGGGAAGAAGGGGATATTTTTTCTCTTCCTGAGAGGCATTTCCTCCCTCCCTCTCAAGATCTGAACTGAGAGCGTTCTGGCTTGTTGACCCGGCTCAGACTGTGCTGTTTCATAGCAGTGGACATTACTTTTCGTTATGCTGTGCTGTCTGTCTGTCCCAGCGACTCTTGGGAGCTGTAGGTGAGGTGCTTCAAGTCCACATTATCATCTATAGGCTGCCCTTCTTACTAAAACTACCGCTCTGCTGAAGCACTGAAAGAGCAGAGTGTTTTTGTTGGTCTTTCCTTTGCTTTTATGAGCCACCGTGAGTTTAACAGAAACTATCTAATCCTTTGCCAGAGGCTGGGGTGTTTGGAGCTGACATCTATTTCGCTTACTGGAACAGCAAACAAAGGAGTGGAAGGGATCTCTTTAGGCCCTTGAAGTCCATTTTTCTCTTATTGTAGCACCATATTATAGATTTGAATTAATAATTTCAGAATTCCATCCTGAAAGTGGTTAGTTCACTTGTATTTTATTAGTGTTGATATCTTTCCTTTGATACCTTTAATGGTACCCATTATACACACCAAAACTGAATCTACTGATAAAAAAGGATTTAAAAAAAAAAGGGGGGGGGGAAGAGGAGGAAAAAAAAAGCTTTTCAAAGTAGATTTTAAGGAATTTTTTTGGAGTCACTTAGGATTTTTACACTTCAGCTGATTAGATAAAAAGTAGAACTGTATTTAGAGGTGAAATGTGAAGTTTTATCACCTCAGCAGTCTTGTGATTTTTTTTTTCCCCCCATTTCTTATTTCTTTTTTTATTTTCCAGTTGGAATGGACATGAGGAAATGAAAGCAGAGGGTATAAAGCTTACTTGAAAGGGGACTCGGACAATATTTGATGTTTTTGTGTTTTTTTCCATTCACAGTCTCTAATATTTGATGAAGTTGACCTGTCAGATGCCAGTGTAGCTGAATCAAGCACAAAAAATGTCAACAACAGCTTCACGGTATGGACCAAGTATAATGCCAGTCTTGAAACCTGTAGATAGACTGTTACTAAGAAAATCAATAATCCTCTGAATAGCTTCTCGTTTTTCTTCATTTGAAAATAAAATGTGTTTTATTTGGAAATGGCATAACTAATAGCATGATAGTATTGCATCAGCTGTTGAGAATTTTGTCTCAGTTACCTCATAGTTTTTAGCAGAATTCAGCAACTTTTTTCGTTGCTAATCATTTCCCTATATTTTTAATAGCTTCTAAGTCATATGGAAAACTATCTTCACAGTTGTACCTTGATTCGGACAATGATGCGCAAAACAAGGGTGTTCATAACATCCCTGTTTAAATGAGTTCACAAGTGAATTTTACACACAGTTCTTGACATTTATTGTTTAACTGCATTGTTAAAACTGTGTTAACATCTGACGCTGTTCCTATGCTGGGAAAGTAAATCTTATGAACAAGAACTAGCTATGAGGAAGATTGTGGGTAAACCTGCCCTCTTGAAGGTCATGAGTTCTTTCACTAACTGCAGTGGTGTTACTTTTCTTTATCTGCAGTTGCTATTATTCTCTTTTAAAATGTTGATTATCCATTTTCCTGAAGATTTCAATTATCGCAGGTGGTCTGTGTTGTCAGTGTTATTGTTTATCTTGAATGTAGTCCGATGCAAGCCTCAAAGCTTGTAGGTTATGGCTCCAGGACTGCCTTATTCTGATATTTCTCGGGCAGCTACTAGAGCAATCAGAGCACTGGAATGATGTCTTCCTGTCAGCACAGGCAGGCCGGCATGCTATGCCAACAAAAGTTTCTTTACTAACTAACAATGAAATTAAAAAGACTCATTTGACCTGCTCAAATGAGTGGATTCCTGTGTGATGTACTAGGTTGCTATATGGAAAGTTATTTTCTATCGCTTAGAAACTCCACTTCTGTCTTTCCCCTGTCCCGAAAGCATCAGGCTTCCCCTGTCATTCAGGCATCAGGACGGCTGAGGAATAATGAGGCGTACAGAGGCTATTAGTTGAGGATCCCAATAGTCAAGATTGTTGCTTATTATTCAGGAAAGGATATAAGACTCAGCATCCCCTGAGGGTCTAAATCTCCTTCGCTGCTGTCTCTATTATGAGAATAAAGACAATTAATAAAATTCTGCATGTAATGTTGCCGATCACCGGATCGTGAAATAACACGTTCCTGTTTACATGTGAATTTTTTACGGGGAAGAAAGGTGGTATATCTTTGGCTTTTTTTCTTCTTTTCTTGTTGTTTCGTACAATGTTTGGTGTTGTGGTATTCTGTAGAATCCTTTAGGCCCATGCAATATCTCATTCTTCAGCGACGACGTGTTTTGTAATTAGCAGTGGGGGAAGAAAGTAGTGAAAAAGAAATATTGGAGCCAGAGCTTTGAAAGCTATGGTGACGCTATTTATTTTAATGTCCTAGGTATTTTAGAGCAAGCAGTGTTTTCACTAAGGAGTATTAAAATTTATGTTGAAAAATTATTTGGGTTTATAGTTTTCCTGGATTGAAGTGTCATCTGATTTGACTGTGAAATATGGTAATAGTTGTCATCTCTTTTAATCTTTTGATTTCTTGCTTTGTGTTTGCCCAACCCTGTCTCCAGGCAACACAGCTCAGCAGAGTAAGACATCTCCGGCCTTGCCTGTGCTGGTTTTGGGAGGGATAGGGTAGCTTTCTAGCAATACTCCTTATAAATAAAAAGAAACAGTTACTTTCTTTTTTTGCCCGTCAGCTTATAAAAAGATAATCCAGTCTGTCTTAGAATTCTGTTTTCTTTCTGTTTTAACTGATCTGCTAGCATTGCATTTGTTTTAAAAAAAGTCAAAAATAAATCCTGAGCTTTTGTTTTCTGCAGTTGCTATATTCCTCTGGATTTCTTGTCCCAGTAGAGAATATTGTTAACACAAACTTATGTAGATGGAACAGAGTCCAAATAACCATATTTCAGAAGAAAAAATAAGTTTTTTATAATTTTAATTAAAATTAAATTTTTTTTAACAAATCCCCTTATCATTAAAAAAAAAAAAAACTCACCCCCCCCTTCAGCCCTGTCCCCAATCATTGGGGAGATGTCCCCAATCTCTCAATTCCTCAACTTACTGTGAAAGTACTCTTTTGCCCTTTCTAGTTCCTGTGTGTGGAGACAGAGGTGTGCGTGTGTCAAGATTTTCCATGCTCTTTCTCTGGATAAAACTCAAGTCCTAAAATTAGTCCTAACACACAGATTTAAGGTTGAGTTTATTTGTAATGTGCATGCTTGTAGAATGTTTTATGTGACTAAATATCGGTGTTATTCCCCGGGATTACTTTTCCTTTCTTACTGCAAACAAATTGAGGTTAAAGGGGAAGTTGAGATTAAAAAAAACATTTGCTAATTAAAATAAGAAGCTGCTAGACTTGTAACAGCTCATCTGGTTCAATTTGTACTTTATTACCGATATCGTCATTACTTTGCAATGAAAATTAACTCTCTGCTAGCAAACAGTCCTCAGTGAACAGGCTTGCACTAGAGAGGCTTGCAGTAGATTATAGGCATTTTATATTTCTGTTTTCCACTTCCACTTTAGGTACCGGTTTCCTAAGAGTGCGGAAACAGAGCAGATCAATAAGGCAGCTCAGCACAGCTGAGATCTGCATCACTCTCCCCATCAGCCACATCAGGAGCCTGGCATGACTTTTGTTCTCCAGGTACCCACGGTTCAGTGGCGTGGATTGGGACTGAGCTCTCATAATATTTTTAAGTACTCAGCTGAATGCTTTCTTTTCCCCCCAGTGCTTTGCTTCTGCCTCAGAGGATTGTGTGTGTATATATATGTGTGTGTGTATATATATATATATATACACACACGTATAGTTGTATAAGGAATACTATTTTTAAATAACAGAATGACTGTTACGTAGGCGTATGCAAAATAACGGAATTCTACAGGGCAGCAAAGATGACTATTAACTGTGATTTCAAAAGAGATTTAACAGCATAGGTTATCCTAAGTAGGTACCAAAAAAAAAAAAATTTGATATACATTGAGGAAGGAAAAAAAGCTGTAAATGTTAACATGTTGCTTTTCGGTTGTTGTATAAATGTTAACAAGTTGCTTTTCGGTTGTTGATGCACATGTACCTGTGAAATGCCGAGGGTTATTATGAATCTCTCCTGGCTTAGTTTTGCGTAAAATGGGCAGCTGTCGTGTGGCAGCACTTACATTTAGTCAATCCATATTGATGTATGAAACATTTTAGTAGTTATGCTCTTCTGTGACAGATATGATGGAAAGATGATAATTTCAGGGTGGAAATACTGATTTTGAGATTTTACTTTGTATAGCTCTCTTTGAACATTTGATTTAGGTAAGGCCAACTTCTAGTCCTTTTTGGATTTGCACAAAAAGCTGTGGACACTCGATTTCTTTCTAAGTATATGTGCTCAAGAAAAGCGAAAATCCTAAGTAGTTTAATTCTCTTACCTAATTGCTTCTGAGAATAACAGAAGAAATAATTTCACAACAGTTTGGGAAGCTGCCCTCTAGGACTGTGAAAATAAACATACTAGATTATACTTAGGGTGGAGACTCAACTTGCCCTAACATCAGGATGGGATTCAGTGGTTGATTTATAAATCCCTAAATTTGGTTATTGAGGATAAGATTAATAGCTCTTTAAAGGAGGGTCATACGTTTATTCAGTTCAGTGTCTCTCTGGACTCTGCTGATTATTGACCAGATCTCACTTAGCTGTAGCAGCAGCTGTGTCCTCCAGGCCACCTAAAATATAGACCTCTCCTCTAGTTTTAGCTTTCTGAATCAGGTGCTGAATCTCATCCTTCTTGTCAAATATGCTGAGAGTGGTCATCCTGGGGGGGAAGGCTTAGGAAACTGCAGATCTGCTGTCCTGGAAAAAGCCTCCCTCAACTCTTAGTAATTAGAAATTGGCTGGAAATGAGACTTTATATTCCAGCCAATAGCATTGATTACTGTGATTCTGGATACGCTTGCAAAAAATGCCTAATGTCATAAATTTTTTTGCTAATTTCTTGGGTTTAGTAATGTATAGAATGTATTGCAATCTCATTGTATATTGTGTGGAAAAACATTTCCTTTGATAGCTTTTAATGTATAGGGCTTTAAGTATCCTCTCCTAGTGTGATGAGACAAAGACAGCAAAAGCCAATAAACTGTCCTTTATTTTATATGTTCTTATATAGAATATAGATATATGTATATAAAAGAGAATATGTATATATTCTTATTTTTATTTGCTTATTTTTCAAGATAAATAATGTTTGTAAACTTTCTCTATACTCTTAGCTATTCTTACCGTTCTTCTAACTCTGATTCTGCAATATCATCTTGTAAGTGCGGTTATATTGTGGCACTCAGCAGTCCAAGTGAAAACAAACCACGGAGAGCTGGGCTTGATAATATTTTCCAACTTATGCTCTCTTACTTTCCTCATGGATCTGATATATTTTTTTTCCCTTTCCCCTCCAGCCCCACATTATGCATTTTTTTTAAAAATTGTCCATAATGGTACCAAGATTTCTTTCCTGTTAATTTGGACCTATCTGTAATTTTAAAATACTTCATATTTTTCTATTTTTCCTCTATTTTTCTATATTTACGTAGCTTTTGTTTGGCATTTACTTCTATCTTTTTACAAACACTGAACTTTCTCGAGTCACAGTGCTGTCTGCTTATTGGCTTTCTCTGCAGTGCCTCGGTGATCAAAGGGGGGAGCTAAGCAACCAAAGTTTTGTTATCATCTCTAAGTGTTTCCATTTCTCTGCTTTATACTCTTCTCCTGGTTTAAGGGTTGCATCACAAAACTGTAGGACAGAACACAGTACTTACTATCTATGAATCTTTTACCATATTAAAGATGACTTTTTCCTACCTTTTAAAGTATATTCCTTAGTTAGCTCTTTCTCTCATCTCATGGTCATGGCATAAAAATAGTTAATCCTTTTGGTTCAGTGGTTGAACTG